CCAAGGAAACCCTTTTTGTCTGATGCCCAACTGTATCAGCTGTGCTCTGACTGCCACTGTCCTCTCCTCTCCCTGATACTACCATGTATTTACTGCAGGATATAGGTGCCTGTCTTTAATTAGCTATGTACAGAAGAATGGGAGCTTTCAGGTTTTTTTTTTGTTTGTTTGTTTTTGGCTAGGCAATGGGGTTAAGTGACTTGCCCAGGGTCACATAGCTAGTAAGTGTTATGTGTCTGAGGCTGGATTTGAACTCAGGTCCTCCTGAATCCAGGGCTGTTGCTCTACCCACTGCACCACCTAGCTGTCCCAGAATGGAAGCTTCTTGAGGGAAGAGAGGATTTGGTTTTGTCTTTGTAACCCCAGCACCTGACTCATAGCAGGCATTTCCAAAATTCACGTGGAATAAATAAATGAGTGATTCTAGGCTAAGAGATTTCCTCAAGTAATCAGGTGACTGGCATTCTCCTTCTAACACAGATAAACCTACACTCTTTTCACTGGATAGCTCAGTGTTGTGAATTACATTAAATGTGAATTAAAGCAGCTTAGCCAACAAGCCAGTCGCTCCCTCAAGTCCCATTCTTTGGGAAGCATTAATTTATGGGATTGGCACCAATAAAAGAATAGACTTCTGCATCCTCCACAACTGTATCTGAAATCAGATGCTCCAATCATAAATGCACATGCATAGCTACACACACACACATACTCCCAAGTGTGCACACGGGTACAGAATTCCACTCTAGGTCATAGACTGTTGACGTGAAGCTGCAAATCGACAGCCTTCGGAGGGTCTGTGCTTGGCCCTCCCCAGAGGGTCATAGACCATTAAGTCCAGAGACCATTAAGTCCAGCCCCCTCATCAATCGCTCTAAGCCCCAGGTTTCTCCTTTGTAGAACTCAATGGCCTCATACACAACATAGAGGCAGCTTGGGCTAGAGGGGAGACAGCTGGCTTCAGGCACAGAATCTGAATTCTGCCTCACACAATTACCAGCTGTGTGACTATGGGCAAATCACTCCCCATCCCTGAGCCTGGGCTACCAAATGAGGATCATATTATCTCTAGTGAGCTGCAACATGATATGGAGGTTAGAGGGCTAGCCTTAGAGTCAAGAAGACCTGAGTTCATGTTTGGCCTCTGACACATACTGGCTATATGACCCTGGGTAAGTCACTTAACCTCTTAGTGCCCCAGGCAACCCTCTAAAAATACATGTCCCAGCTGAAGTGCATATCTACATCAGAAGGGGGAATCTCCACACTGGGAATTACCCACACACCGATGACCTCATACATCCACACCAAAGAAATCTCACCCCTATAGTACTTATCCCATAGGTTGGTGTGAGCTCAAATTATAAAGTGCTTTGCAAATCTTATCCACTTTTAGAATAATTTTTAAATAAATGTTTGAGTATTTTGTCCTATATGTGTAACCTGTTATGATCCCAATGGCTCAGTCTCCCAGCCAATAACTATTACAGGAATCCCAATAACTCATATTGACGTACTAGTTTAAGGTTTCCAAAGCAATTACCTTTACTCCTTGCAATTACCCATAGAAGGAAGAAGTACAAGGACTTGACATATGAGGAAACCAAGGCCTACTGCTTACATTCTGGCACCAGCACTGGGCACAGATTCCAACCTGGGCATTTCATTGCAATGGTTCTGAACTGTGTAAGATAGTTTTCTTTCCTTTCCTGAAGCACCCACTGGTTTATTTCTATTTTGATTTTGTCATGGAAAGAGTTGGGTTTTTTTTTAAATGAATCCCAGAGTCATTGAGTTAACATTGACCTCCTGAACCTCAATGGCAGTTTCCACACGAGACAATAACATCCCCAAAGCAGGCTTCCCTTTCCTTAAAACTAGAGTAGAGAGAAGCTTGGGGATGTAAATCTTACTTCAAAATGATCTGTTTTCATTTTCACAGAAAATCAACTGGCACAGACAAAAGGAAGAAGGAGACAAAAGGAGATGTGAGCTTAGCTGAAGGATGCCAATGACAGGCAGGTAAAGGAAGCAAGCAAGTGGACACTCGGACATACCTCTTAATTATGTGGGCCCGGTTGTTCACATAGTTGGCATCAAAGGAGTAGTTCTCAGTCTGAAAAAGAGGAGAAAAGGACAAAGAACAAAGATCATTAGATGGAAGAAAGTCCTATTTTCCTGCCATGAATTAAACCCATACCACAGTGGGTACCCCAAAGCACAGGATTTCCAAAGTGGAATGCACTCCATGGTCACTGAATCCGACACATAACCACAAAAGGCATTCCCTCAGCCAGCATTGGCTTGAAGATCTCCGTTGAGGAGAGCCCTCACCTCTCCATACAGCCTGTTCCCCTCCGGGATAGCTCTAAGTGTTAAGGAGGTGGTTGGGTTGTATAGTTGTCATTTTCCTAACACCCAAGCCTACATTGACATCCATCATTTCATCTCATTGTTCTGAGTTCTGTCATCTAGGACCAAAAGAACAAGTATTCCCTCTTCCATATAAGAGCTTTCCCATCTCCCCCTTGCCCTCCTCCCCCTACTTGCTCTTCAGCCAGTCCTCCTATAGCATGGACTCTAGACCCTTCCCCATCCTGGTTGCCCTTCTATGGATGCTCTCCAGTCTATCACTTCCTAACCAGTGGTGCCCACGATGAAACAACTGCTCTGATTGCTTTGAAACTAAGCAATGCTACATTAGTGCCTGAGAACCGAATCCTGCTTTCTCAGAGCCAACGAGTCTCTGTGGGTCAAAGCACAGGCCTGCAACTCCAGCCAAGACCACTGCAACCCAAGAGTCTGACCAAGTTGACATATGGATGCATCTGGGGACCACACAAACCACTTCCCGAAGAAGAAGCAACGCGACACATTGCCTTTTCCGAAACTCATTGCTTCCTGTTCCCCAGCGGCCCAATTCTGCACCCGTCAAGTTGACTAGAAGTTCAAAGGTATTTTTTTATTAGTACCAGATAATTAACATGTTAAAATATTTATTCCATAGATATGGAAATGTGGTGAAGGCAATCGCCTGCTATGGCCCCTGTTCTCGCCATCTTGAATGGCAGCCGTATCCATGTGCAGGCAGCAAGAACTTTATTTTATCACAAATACAAAAGCAAACAGGTATGGTGCCTAAAACAGGGGCAGGGGATGGATGAAAAGCAGTCCCCAGGGGGTCTTGAAGTCTTTCATGTGAAATGGGAAGTCAGCAAGCAAAGCCCCATCCTGAGGCCTATCATTAAAATACCACCTTCTAATGGAATTCAGAGAGATTTTCTAAGCAACAATGTTCACCAAAGCTACCACAGAATGCCTAGGAGATAAAAGAGGTATGTGTGCGTAAGGTGTGTGTGCCTGTGTGTGTGTGTCTGTGTGTGTGTTTGTGTGTGTGTGTGTATGTCTGTGTGTCTGTGTGTGTGTCTGTGTGTGTCTGTGTGTCTGTGTGTCTGTGTATCTGTGTGTGTGTCTGTGTCGGTGTGTCTGTGTGTGTCTGTGTGTGTCTGTGTGTATCTGTGTGTGTATAGGGGATGGAAAGACCATCAGGACATTAGAGCTAAACCTAGTGTGGGACAACCGGGCCTCTGTCCCCAGGGTACCAATAACACTTTAGCAACTTCAGCAGGTCAGAAAAAGGAATCTTAGCAAAACTAGTGAAAATGAGATGCTCCTCTATGGCAGGCACTTCAGCCCTCCCTCCCCAGTAGATATGAGCTCCCCCCTTCAACCCTGCCCTCTCTCCTCCCTCCCTAACAGCAATATCATAGCATCCTGGGATCTCTGGCCCTTGGTGCTGGGGACAGATCTCAGCCTCAGCCCATTGGGCCTTGGGACATACCTACTGTGTATTTAGTGGCAACCATCTCAGGCAGAAGAACTGCTTATCACAGCTCTATCTGTCCAAAGAGGCCAACCTTAACAAGGGGTGAGACCCAGGGCAAAAATTGCACCTGGGAGCCAGGCCTAAATTCTCAGTGACCTTTTCTACCATCCCCACTCTTCCTCCCACTCCTCACCCTACACCAAATACACATACTCTAGTGTAGTCCTGACCCTAAGTAATGCCCAAACTAGAGGCCCTAGGAAATACTAGGTGAGTTCTTGGGGTCAATGGGGAGGGGGGTTGAGGTATGTTTTCAGGAGGGCTGAGTTCTGGTTTCTTGTTGGGCTAACCCAGACATTGTCCTACCTCCACCAGGGGACAGGGGAACGAGTTCATGGTTCCTATTCTGCATATCAGGCCAGCCAAGGAAAGATGAAACTCATCCTTCTCTCTACAGAATCATCTACTCCCATGGCCATTCCACATGAATTACTCTCAAAGATGAAAATATGCTTTTATTGCTGCCACCAGGGCAAGAAAAGTCGACCAAAAACCCAGAAAAGTTAATGCCTCAGGAGTGCCAGCCTGCTGCCATGCCCACAGCCACGGCTGTCAAAGACCACATGAGAACAGGCCAGTCTGCGAGGGGCTAGCAGAGGTCACTCAGGGAGTTTTTCCAGGGCCCCTACTCTGTGTCCAGCACTGTGCTGAGTAGCATGGTTCTGTCTCAGCTGAGTGAATGGGACCTTCACTCAAATCCCTAGCAATGAGCAACTCACTTCTGCTGTTAGAGCTGGGGGAGCCCGTCTTGCACTCAGCACAGCTTAGCTCATCGCTGCACACAGCGAGTACTGCTATGGAGAAGCATTTTGAAAACTCCTTGCTGTGGCTTTTTTTTGCATCTTTGTTTCTGCATTATGACATTGATTGCTAAAGGTTTTGGTGACTCAGAAGGGATAAGCCAGGACTGAATTCTGTGTTGGTGTCACAGAGGCAAATTTCAACCACATTTACCAGGTTCCGTGCAACAGCTTCATTTGCCAAGGACCATGCAAGAGCTCCCAAACCTGAAACCCCAGATTCAGCCTGGGGGAGTGCCAAACCACTAGGATGTGATCAGCCTCCATCTGGGCAACAGTACTGGGTCCATTTGGGGCCCTGGTCATATTAGCTGAAGACTGCTTGAAAGAATTTTCCAAACAGGAAGAAAGCCAGGAGAAAGACAGACAGAGAGAACAGAAAAATGGATAGACAGACAGAACTGTACCACAGAAATGACTTATGTTCCCTTCCTAACTTCAATCATTAGATCATATATCTAGATAGGGCTAGAAGAGATCTTCTCATCCAACTCCCTCATCTTACAGATGAGGAAACTGAGGCCCAGAGAGGTGATGCTGGAGAAACCACAGAATTATAGGAATCACAGAATCTCAGAGTTGGAGGGGACCTTGGTTGGACCATTTAGTCCAATATATATGTGACCCAGAATCCCCCTCTACATTATACCCAACAGTTGGGCATGGAAACTTTTGCTTGAAGACTTTCAGTAAGGGGAGACCCACTGTCTCTAAAGGCCTCCCATGCCATTTTGGAGTAACTCTAGTTTTTCCTAACATCTGTAACTTCCATCCATTGCCCCTATTCCGACCCTCTAGAGTCTAGAGACACACAGAACTAGGCAAATACTTTTCCACGTGACGGCCTTTGTAATACTCAAACTGGCCGACATTAAATGATCTCGTGCATATCTTCATATGTGAAGACTCAGAAGGCCTGTGCCCACTTTGCAGGGAATCCAGTAATCTTGGGGATGGGGGTGGGGGTGTGGAGGAGGCTTATCTCCAGGCCTGTAACTAAAAATACTTGTAGTAACAAATGAGGAAAAACAGGCAAATATCCATTATTTCCTCTCCATAGTCTATAGTCTGCATCAGTGATGTCAAACTCAAAGAGAAGTAGGGGCCACTAAGGGGTATAGAAGGATCCCCACCGGCCACATATTGACTTAGTTTTAAAAAGTAGTATTATCTATGCTTTATTATATTCTTATTTCTTTTGTTAAACATTTCTCAATTACATTTTAATCTGGTTCAGGCCACACTTGAGAGTGTTGGAGGCCACATGAGGCCTGCAGGCCACATGTTTGACACCTCTGGCATACATGGCATCATATGTTACACTCAGATGAGACTCTTGATAACAGGCACAGAGAAAAGGGAGGGCACATGCACTGGGCCTGCCTATGGGAAGAAAGCCTGATGATTTCTCCCTTCTCCGGAGCACTGGTCAGTTGGCACTGAGCATGTGTCAGATGCACTCAGCCATTAGAAGCTGAACAGAACTAGAGACTTACCTTGGCCAACTCTCCCATTTCTACTCCACAACTTAGATAAAGGGCCTCAAATATCTCCCTTCAACAAAGTCCTCCTTATGAAAGACTAGCGTCTAGAACTAGAGAAATAATAGTTCTCATGAATTGGGAGTCAGGACACATGAAGAGTACCACAGTCAGTTCCAGAGGCCACACTTCAGAAAGGTCAGTAACAAGCTGGAAAACCTTGAGTCCAGAGATTCTTCACCTTATTTAGACCACGAACCCCTTGGACCATGGTCTGGTGAAGCCCATTGACCCCTTACTCAGAATCATGGTTTTAAATGCATAACAAAAAAAATTCACAGGACTACAAAAGATACCAAATTATATTTAAGTGAAGTTATCAAAATATTTTTAAGTGAAGTTATCAAAATATTTTTAAGTAAAGTTATCAAAATATTTTTTCAGGTCAAGTTCAGAGATTCCATGTTAAGAACCCCTGATTTAGAGCAAGCCAACCAGGATGGGAAAAGATCTTGATATCCTACTACATGAGGCTTGGTCAAAAGAATTAAGGCCATCGAGCCTAGAAAAAGTGAAATAAGATAGCTTGTTGTCAAGTATCTGAAGGACTGACACGGGAAAGATGGATTTGACTTGTTTGGCTTGGCCCAAATGGATGGAAGTTGCCAAAAGGCTGACTTAGACTTAATATCAGGAAAATCCAAACCAACCCCCAAACCAAGAAACCTTGGGAACAAGGAGAGCTGTCCAAGGTGAAATGGGCTGCTGGGGGGAGGAAGTGGCTTTCCTCTCACCCGAGGTCTCCAAACAAAGGCTGGATGTTATGGTGGGGGGGTTCCCTACCCAGGTGGGGCTTGGACCAGGTGCCCTCTCTGGTTCCTTCCAGCTCTAAGATTGAAGGGCTCTGCCATCCCACCCAAGGCTACAGAATCAAAGTAGAAAAGGAAGA